TCAGTGCAAGCTGTTCCAAGCCTTCGACAGAAACCACGACTTCCGACTTATCAGAATGCTACGACAAGAACACGCTCGGGTCGTCGAGTTCGTATCAATGCAAAGTATTTCTAAGGTATCGCTAGCACTGGAGGGGGAGTACTGTGGCGACCTGCCAACTACAACTCAAGGCTGCCAGTCTAGTAACTCATAGCAACGAAAAACAAAATAATGTTTATTCTATTGTTAATATAGATACCAACAAAAATTGATATTATTAACGATCTGTTTTTGTTATCATAGTTGCTTGTCGAGCTACGCTTTATTTATTATTGTTCAAAACGACTTATTATACATATTAAATCGTTTTTATTATTATATTGAAAGCAGCGTGTGTCAAAAAATTGTACTACCATAATTAACTTAATTTTTCTGATGGTGAATTGGATTTAATATCTGAAACTGTATCAGCTCTACTTCCAATAAAGTTGGTTGTGGTGGCAGTATGTCTGAAGGATTCTAATTTATTAACAACGAATGCAATAAATTTTATGTTGCAATTATACGCCAGGACATGCCACTATTCAAGGAATCATTTAGTGCACTGAAAGTACGCATACAGGTCAAACAGAGGGAACTAGACAATATTTTGTGGTATTTACATATGTTAATAAAAAAAATGTGTCTCAAATTACAATTAGTTATAAATAAAAAAATTGCTACGAAAATAATCCAAACATAATATAAAAAAAACAGATTTACTCAAAACCATCACCAAGTTGTTAGAAGAGGAAAAAATTGGAGGCAAATATTTACAGGAAATATATCACTCATTATTAGCAGTACTATTAACCAGTATGGATGCACAAAGCGCATATTCAAATGCGTTCCAAGTTTAACGACAGTTCAGAAGATGCATTACGTTTTTATATTAGTGTATAACAAATTCTTATTTCATGGTTGTACATAACAAAATCGTTTATATTTTTATAGTTGAAGCCTTTTTGTTTAAAACTAATAACTATATCAAAGAAACAACTGTGTTTTAGTAACTTTCCTGAAATATTCCCAACACTAGTGCAGATTCAACTGCAGTTAATCTGTGCACAAAAATACGTTTCAAATTTAATGACGGTTAAATAGATACATTATGTATTTATATTTTATATTTCTGCATAACAAATTTTTATTTTATATTTGTATGTAGCAAAATTGTTTGTATTTTTATAGTTACAGCATTTTTTGTTTAAAACTAATAAATCTATCAAAGAAATAACTGTGTGTTTTTTAACCTTCCAAAATTCCTAAAACTAGTATTCTGGTACATTAAAAAAAATACCGAATACCGATATTGTATTTTTGTCCGAGATTGCAATCAAAATTTCTAATTAAATAAATAGTAAGCAAAAGCCTTAATATTCTCTAATTAATTACTCTTAAATAAATAATATGTGAAGTACTAGCGCTCCTATTTAATCCCTTCTGGAACTTTAGCAAGACTTTGTATGGATATAAATACTAATCTGTTTAATATTTAAGGACAACCATCATACCTCTGGTTAAGTACTGAAACCCTCCATATTTTGCACTTGCACCTCGTAAGTTAAGCTATACTGAATTTCAGCAAAAGAGCAGTTTGACATAAGTGTATAATTTATATATTATTTAGGCTACTTCTCATAATAAATTTCTTTGCTTATATATTAACCCATTATTGTTTTAAAAATAAACAAAACTTATTTATAAAGGTCAGTTCCATAAAATAAAAACTATGATACCAGCTACAGTTTTCTCATTTATTCACTCTCAGTTTCCAAATGAAATAAGAAACATGGATGGAATTAAAGTAATACAGATACACAATTTAACATATTTAAATATACATTTATATAAAAAAGAAAGAAACAAATACATATTTTTAACTTTTGTAAAGTACAATACTGATGAAAGTGGATTAAACACAAGATCTAAAGCTTATTTCTATATACTGATATTTTGAACACAAGACAGTATAACTAAAATGATTACCTTACTTTTGGTAAACTACTTTGGTATTCAATAGGATATAACAAAAGATATAACAACATTTGGAATTACATATTGAGTGCAGCGTCTAAAATGAATGAAAGCATTCATTTCAGACATATATGAAAAGAAATCAAATTTCTCATTAGTATAATTTACATGCTCAAAACACAGATTGATTTATTAATATGGCAGTGCTATACGAATTCCACATTGAAAGGTTTTTATTTTATTACAATTCTTAATACGCCTACATCTAATTAACAGTGTGCTTATAAAATTTTCATTGATAAAACGACTTTCTTAAAACCAGCATTCCTATGTACTATTTTTACCTATATTTTTTTGCAATGCAAAGAATCATGTTTTTAATTTAAAAGCATAAAATTATGTCTTCATGTATGGTTCAGTACAAAGTTAACAAAGAAGTACATAAGAGCATAAAATAGTAATTTAAGCAATATTTGTGATCTACTTAGAAAGGAAAAAGGAACTTTCTAATTATGAAACATCATTAGAAAGTTAATCTGTCATAAAAAATTTTATAATACACTTTACAGATATTAATAATAAATATACATTTCAAGATTCAACAATATAGAAATTTAGGAAAACACAAGATATTATATATGTATATTTTTCAGCTTTTTAATCAAAATGGGGGGGGGATCATTTGCATTCCAAAAATAATGAAATTTTATATTTTTGCTTATGTTAAAGTAGACTCACTATACATGGCCTTATATTGATTATTCAATGTTTTTCTTATGAATAAATATAAGCATGTAGTTTCTCTTACAAAATTTAATCCAGTGTTGTCCTTTTAAGACAGTAAAGAGTAAAGTGGTCTACAATGATAAATTACCTACCTATCTGTCTTAAGATATATTACTTTTATTAACCATAAGAACTACAGATGCGTTTATGCAATTACAGCGGTGTTTCATTTGATTTGAATTTTAAAAACTATAAAAGATTACTACATATAACTTTGCTTTAAAAAATTCAGGTTATATACATTAGCTATGCAATAGAAGTTAATTCCTTAATATTTCAGATTAAATTAAAATTTATTATTTTGCACATTTTAATTTCTTTAAAATCAACAATGTTCCCTTCATTAATTAAACAAATTTCTAGGGCTACAGTTGCAGGTAATACTTAGTCAACTAAATGATAACATAATTCATTCTGAACAATAAGTAAATATTGTTCAAAAAGACGTGAATTAAGTAACAAAAAGTGATTATTCAGTTAAAAAGTTCATTAATAATATTTTTAATTCAGCTTAATGTTTACAGTGGGTCAATTATTGTTCCAATGCTCAAGATTGAACATCTTAATAATAATATTTTCATGTATTAATAATAAATAGGATGCCAATTTACAAATAAATTCTGCTGATAAACTATGAGCATGTAAACTGAATTTCAGGCTTATTAAGTACTTCATACAGTTCACAAAACTATTTGTATGAAAAGGCACCCTGTCTTCCCAAAAAATTCATAAAAGTGTTAAAAAGAAATTTATTTTAAATTGTAAAATTTAAACAAGCTTGATGTGATTTATAAATATATTACAATTTTATATTAAAAAAGGAAGCATTCCAATCTACTTCTGTGCTTTAAAAACAGTGGAATTTGCTGCACTAAAGCAATTCCTTCCAATACTGATAGAAACAAAATATACAGATACTTTAAACAGAACAAGTGCTTCACATAAAGATCATTTATATTTATCATGATAATTACATATAAATGACACATATCATTTCATGTTAAATTTTAATTTACATAATGAAGAAGTAAAAATTGTGTAACAGTTTATAACTAGAATACAGAAAATATTATTTATTTATTCCTCTGAATGCCAATTAAATAAATAATACTGTTATTAAGTAACATAGTGCAAGAAGATACCATGATGAATGGGAGTAAAAAATTTAGTGTGTTTCAAAAGGAATATTAACATAACAGTACATACTTCAGTGTAAAGCATTAGTAGATTCATTAAAAATCCTTATAAATATATTTCAGTACTTTTAAAAGAAGAAATTGTTTTAGATATATTTGATAAAACTCTTAAAATTCAAACAAATGGCAGCATCAGGACTAAGCTATGGTGCACAAATAGTAAAGGAGTATGTCATTAAAAGTATAAAACTGAAAACAGAATAAATATATTTAACAATGTAATTAGTTCTTTTAAACAAGAGAAGTAAATTAAAAAATAACAGAACATATTTCATTCATAATTTCTCATTTCATGTACTAAAATTTCATATGTCAGAAGAAATGACTTCAAGTCACTTGATGAATTCTACAGTCAATTATGAAATTCACATTTAATTACATTTACATATATATATATATTGGTGTATGATGAGTGTGTATATATAGATATATTGCTTTATGTATTCCATTTTGCTTTTCATTTAGCTAAATACATAACATTATGCAACAACAATTTTTTGACAAATGGACACAATGTGGAGATATGAACAAATGCTGAAGCATCGATAAGCATTGCAAGTTTCCATGGCTACAACATCTAAAAAACTGCATAGTAATTATGTTCATGCTATACAATTTGCGAAGAAAAGTCAACACACTATTTACATTTCAACACACTATTCTAAGTGTGTTACTACTAAAATATGCATGTATGATCATACACAAACTACCACAGTCCCCTTTGACGGCACTTGATCAATGGCTAATAGCATACAGTTAGTTCATTTTTAACTTCATAATTCAGAAGTATGATATTAGTGAACATCTTACCAAGTCTCAATTTGCAGCAATTTCTTGGTGAGCAATGAGCAAAACATCATATAACACAATGAAGGAATCTTTTTATGGAGCGTTAAAATTTTTTTATTATAACTCCCACAATGTAATTTGGGATAATGGCTTAATAAAGCAACATACAAAAGAAACAATAAAAAGTAATTCAAATTTTTGTAATATCAACCTCACACTTTAAAAACAATATTTCAGTAATAATAAAAATTTATCAACTGTGTATTTATCAATTTACCCACAAAAGCACTACTTATTTTTTAAACTCCAGACAGTAATTGCTTATTTAATTACTATATGAAGGAATCTGAGTTCTTAAAATGGAGTGCTGATCGGAGAAAGTGATTTCTGCTAAATTTTTTTACTTAAATCAAAAATTCAAATAAATTAAAAATTTAAGAAAAATTCTTTGACAGTTACTTTATGACTCTACATGGATCGAAATGATGACTAAAGACTGTAAATAAATTCATCAGTACTGGAATATATGTTAGCTGAACATTAGTGGCCTCAATTAGAAATGTGAAAAAAAGGGAGATGGAGCTTCTTTACAAAAATTATGTGAAATTTTCCCCTACATTACATTTTTCATCTAACTGGGTGCTTTTAATTACCAGGATCTACATAACAAAAAAAGATGAAGTTAAAATTACATACTAAGAAGCAGAAAATCCTGTTATTTATGCTTTCTGCCCGATAAAAATCAAATATGGGATCATTCTGGTGATGAATTATCAGGATGATCTCATACTTATCACTTCTTGGAACGAAAGTAGGAATGTTTGGAAGGGGTTGCCATTTATTAGTTTATATTTCGCATTAATTATTTTAAGTAGTCTTAATAAAATTCTGATATTGTTGCTTGGAAATTACACCATATTGAGTTCCTGAATAAAATATCTCTGGCTTTTGTTTTGACATAAAAGACTGGTTGCCATCAGCAGAACATTTATATGTTTAAGGAATAATTTTAAATATATTACTTTCTGTTTATATAAAAATATTTATTAATTTAATTAAGACCTCCATTCTATAGTTGATTTCATGACCATTTGCAAGCAAAAGGCTAGTTTATATCATTAGTATAGTTAATAAAAACCTCTCCTAACCTAGTACATATTACGCACCTCAGCAAAAGGAGTTCTTTCTAACTCTTCTAACTTACATAAAAGATCTAAAAGTTGGTGGAGAATTAGGATTGGAAGAATTGGAAGAAAATTTAGAAATTAACAGTAAACAAAACTTCTACAATTTTGCAGCAACACATATAGCACATGTGATTGCTCTTTCCATTTCCTCTCCGTCTTTTTTTAATGATTTTTTTAAAATTTAATAATAAAGATTTAGTTTTATCACATGACGATACTTGGTATAATTTTGGTTTTCTTTTTCCAAAAAAGAGTTTCACGGTTTCCCAGCTGGTTTCTGCTTTATAAGAAAATAGAAATTGGAATTTTTATAATTATAATTTAATTTATATACCATGTGCTTTACTAATGCAAATAATAAATAATCATTACAAAATTTCCATTTCAATTTTTCTTTGTGGACTTCTATGTTTCAGATGGCAAGGATATCCCTCTTCAGGAAATCATAATTAGACTAAGTTTTTAAAAAATATCTTGAATGAAAATGCAACAATCTCACATAATTTTCTATTGGAGCTAATATTTTCTTAAGCTACTAATATGATACAGTTCTAAGAACAACTGAAATTTCATATGGGGTTTAAGCAATTCTAATTTAGAAAGCAAAACTTTTAAATCTTACATTTATCCACTATTTCATTCATTTCACAACACTTCAGAGAATCAAACTGAACAAGACAAAAAGTTGTTGAAAGGTAGCCATTCTTTCAATAAAAATACAAACAAAGCATAAAACATTACAAGCATATAATTTTATACATAAACTCAAGCAAAGGAAAGTTCTCTTCATTGAAATGATATGTTTCATAAGAAAAACTTATCTTCGACTAAACACAATCCAAAATCTTTCATGCTTCAAAATATCATACAAAAAATCTACTGACCAAGACCATAACTCTTTTAAAATGGACTGTACCATACATTATGACAAGTACAATAACAGACTGGAAACACACCTGAATGGTACAGTTGTTAACAGCTGTAATGCAGATTCAAGCTTTGTGTCCTCACATGAAAATGATACTTCCAAGTACCACGAGAAAAGAAAATGCCATGCCATCATAAACCAGCATGTTTCAAACAAGTAAACCCTGTCATAACAGAGCGAAATACAAAATATTAATTGACCGATTCTTGGTGGGTTTACACCACCAATAATTCAAGCAACAGCTGTTTCAGAGCTGTAATCCATTAGTTTCTGCTCCGTACAGTCAGAATTAATCGTAGACAGAAATACACTGTTACTATCAAAATTCTTTTCAGTGTGAGATGAATTCTTAGCATTTGCTGTTCGGCTCTTGGAAGAGTAAGGTGAGGCCCTCATGTTTCTCCGTGCAGTGCGATTTTGTCTCCTTTCTTTTAGCATTGTCTGAATATGCTGGACTTTTTCACGTAAGACTTTGTCTTCATCTTGTTTAAGTTCTTCTAGAAAAAAGAAATACACAAAATATTTATCCCTTTCCAGAACAAAAGCATAATGCTACTTGAAAATGCAAAAAGAAAAAATTAAATTTTTTAGCACTCCACCTAAATACAATATCTCAGAACCCAGTTAAGTAATATGCAGGGTCATTTCTAGAGGGGTGCAGTGTGTAAAAGTACGCAGAAGGTGAAAATTGGAAGCGGCCGGACTCTCGCGATACTATGAATATATATTTTAAATTCATTAAATTCATTGTAAGTATTTGTCATATGTAAAGTACTTTTTATACAATTTGTCATACTTAGAAACTATGAAATAAAAATTTTATTAACCATTGAACTATTTCTTTTTTTTTTTTTTAAATAAGAATGGCACTGGTAATATGTTCCAAACCTTCTGTTGATATGTGAAAACATGGATAATAGCAAATACTATGTAAAAGATGATATTCCTGCAGTGCATATAATTAAAGATAAATTTAATTAATAAATCATGCAAATAAAACATTATCAACATTAAGTAGTAAAGCATTCTGTATACAACAATAGATTACATGCTGCACTACTAAATAAAATAATACAAAGTAGTTTCCTATAAAACAAAGGGATTCTGAATATTTTACCCTAAGATGAGCAAGAAGTGCAAAAGTGCAGTTTTCATACTGTACTGTAAAACATACCGTTTCAAAGGATGTTAGAAATATGAATTACTCATTTCCCTTGCATTCAGTACACTAAGAGTTTCTATGTATTAGTTAGTCTTAGGTTTGAGGATGTTACTGTAGTAAACAGAGCTTTAAAGAGCAAGAAAGTTGCTATAAATCAAATATCCTAAAAGCATTAATATGCAAAATTGCTTGAACTTTATTGATAATCATCAAGTAGAAATATGAGTTTAGAGCTTGAAATATTTCTTGTAACCTCACAATAAAAATAGGACTTCTCGGTAAACATTTCCAGTTTTTGGCCCCAAACATGCAGATGCTTAGACAGGTATAGGTGGGTTTGGACTCCTGCATTTCAGCTATGTTAAGGATTTCTGTAATTTCACTTAAACAGCAGACAAATCTTATGACACATCCTTCCCCATCTCTGTTTCTTTGAATCAAGTAAATCTGCAGGTTGATTTGGTTTATGCGATGATGGCTATCTGCCTAACAGGGGGGACGCCTTTCTGAAGGACTTTTTAAAGGAAAATGAATCTGCAGGTGCAAGGCATATTACTCCACCCAATGCCAAATACACCAGGGACCCAACAATAATAACGGCAGGTGATATGGCTTTAATGAAAAAGTATGAAATATTTTAAGTTTAGCTTAAAAGAAAAATCTCCTAATTAATTCATAGTTTGCCAGCTATGAAGGAAGTAGAGTCATTAGGATTTTTGAAGTAGGTTAGGTTATTTAATTACAGCAAAGCCTCGAGGGCTATTGCTAAGGAAGAAAGATTGCCTTGTGGAAGACTTTAAGGGAAATGGCTCATATACACGAACATGAGGAAAACCACGAAAAACAGCAGCCAGCCGTTCGGGGATGCGAACTCGACGAACTACCAGTGTTCAGCGACTTTACCGCTCGGCAGCTGGTGGGCCTTGTAGGAAATATGAAAAATGAGCAATGCTCACTGGGACTTGAGCCTGGACCTCTCAAATATGCACCGAGAGTCCTACTGTTAAACCATGAAGACATGCAGAAAGGAGGGAGAAATATCTTATAAGTTGATTAATACAAACATCTATGCAAAATTATTTGCATTCTACTACAGAAGAAAAACTAGTTGAAAAGCAGAAAGAAAAAATAAAATTTTATTTAATGCAGAATCATTATCAGAATTATTTAAGAATCATTATCAGAACAATTAATTGTTGGCAGTATTTGTAGCCTCTTCCCCCCCCAAAAAAAGCTTCTTAAAAAAATTGCAATGTAAAATTTCTACTGTGAGTGACTGCAGACAATATAGCAGACAACTTGACAATCTTAGTGAATGACTATAAAAAATGTGTAGAAAATAGAAGGAAATGCAAATTGCAATGAGAGTGCCTTCTCCGTCACCATAAATACTTGTTCCTAAGAAAATGGGACCAAGTATCCTATATATAGATACCTATATTAATAAACTTAATATATTTAGGATACCAATGTTAATAAATTATAAAAATAGGAAGCTGTACAATAGACTGACATAAAGAAAATACAGTAAATAAGATTGGCCAAAAATTTTCTATTTAAAGATTTATGGTTCAATTAATTAAATGAAACTGACACTATCAAAGCTGCGTGACTGATGTACCAAATTAAAAATGTCCTTCTAGTAGAAGCCTATTGACTAGTACAAAAAAAGTTACATCAGTACTCTTACATCAATGATCAACTGGAACTAGTTATTTTGAAAAAAAAATTAGAGGACCAAAAATAATAATGTCTACAATAAAGTCTGGATAACAATAAAGTCAGGATCTAACATTTAAGTACATCTAACTAGTTTTAAGTTTTCTAAGATATACTGTCATCATATATTAAGAGGACAAGTTTACAGAAATTATCAAGGGGTTTTACTTTAATTGCAGTAAAATATTATGGATAGATAAAAGTAATGCTTTAAATCCATGGTATTCTATCCCCCCAAAGTCGAATAATGCACATTATTCATTGGATTCATTGTAATAATAAGTTCATCAATTAGTGTAATGTTTCATACGCCAATCCAAATGCTGTGAATATCTTATCATATAGCTCATTTACAACCAACCATTATTAATACATATTTTAATCAATTAAGAATAATTTTACCCCATGTTTTGAATATATCATAAACACAACTGAAGAGTTATTTAGTAATAACCATTCTGATCATCTCATAAGCAAGTGGTCTCAAACTAGCGGCCTTTCAAATTCACGCAGTCTGTGAAGACATTTCAATTATATGTTAGTTGCCAAGGTTTTAGTCACTATAATGTTGAGTTTTTATTATTTTCATTTCCATTAAAATAAACATGAATAATATGCCAGGAAATCTATAAATGTAGTTAATTTACAATGTGATATAATTCTTTTTTAAAAATTTGGAGATAGAGATTTTATTAACTTATATTCTTGTCAAAAAATAAGCTCAGTTATGGATTTTTGCAATAAGAATAATCATTTTGATTAGGAATACATTTATCTGCGAACAGCTTTTTCTGACATTTGAAAATTCATAAAAAAAGAATCTGATTGCCAAAAGCATACAAAAGTGAAGAAGAAATTTCAGTAGTCTTCAAGATATAAATTTTCAGAATCAAAAGCCATAGGTCCAGATGTAGTAAGAAATAAAGGAGTTCATAATTATTTACGTATGAACATATATATTTTATTTATACACTAAAGAAAAATTTTAATATAAAAAAAAGAAATAACTGTCAGTATTATTCTCAAGTTTTGGTCACATTGGTAAATTTTTGAACTAGAAAGTTTTTATATTATTATTTTAGTTTAATAAATTGCTAATGATCAGTAAACACACTTTATATTTAAGAAATGTCAATAAAAAAATTTAACTTTATTATCAATATACATGAATTAAAAACGTAACAAACAAAATCTCTTGCAGGTTTAAAATTAGATTTGGACACCAATAAATGAATTGACTTTTCCCCTTTTATAAATCATCATATTATATTATTGTTTAGTATGATTTAATAAATGTTTTTTAGCGAGTGAATTTAAATTTATTTAAATATTTTTATTTGTATAAAATTATTTGAAAAAAAAAAAAAAAAAAAACAAAAAACATCCTATCCTTTATAGCCAACATGCAATTTGAGTTTGAGACCACTGCCATAAGCAACACAATAGGTTGTTGGGGTAAGTTTTAGTCATCTAAAGAATATACTGAGAAATTTAGTACAAACACAAAGCTTCAAAGCTTATCAATATGGAAAAGTGTTAATACCCTTCAGCTAATATTAAGGCAAATTTCACACCCCAGTGAATTATCTGATAACAATTCGTTCTAAGATAACAAAGAATCATACAACAGCCGAAGAACGTCTATGCAATAAATATTCTTTGCAACAGTCACTCACTTAATGAAAACCACATTACAGATCACCCTAACAGTACAGCTCACTGACCAGAAAATATAACCTGGGTAGTTAGTTCATCCACAGATCTCAGACAGTGATTCATACCAAACACCATCCTGAATGTGCCAATTTTCAGTGTTACAAGTTATTTACAATCATGCAAACATTGAGCATAGCTCTTTCTCTCAGTAGCTGCAGAATTAATGCTAAAACTCAATTTGGAAACAATGAGCAAAACTTGAAGTCATGCAACAGATAGCTGCAACCAAAGAAGTTACTCAAAGGTACATCAGAGTTCATATTTAAAGGAAGAATTTAACCTAAGAAGATAGTATTTGCAAGTTCTGAAAACAGGCTGATTTCAGCAAGCTAGCATTTTAAATGCTTTCAGAGTACAGAATATGTTGGTAAATAATGAAAACTTAAGGCATGAACTTTTTCTGGTATTTGAAAATTGTTATTATGATATGAACAAAACATTATTTAAAATAATTTTAATTTTACTTTTACTTTTAATAAAATGATACTAAAACTTACCATTGGCTTTTGGGGATACACTTGTTTTCTGCTTTGAATAAGCAGCAGTGTTGTTTGAGCAGAGGCACTGAGCAGAAGGATTACAATGAGATGAAGCTCCAAGAAGATCATTCAAGATGTGAATAACTGTGCAAATATTTCGCCGAGGTCGACCATCTTTGTCTTGTAATAATGGACTTAGAGTACCTATAACAATTTTCACAGTTGTTTTAGCTATATAAAGGAGTTTAAAAAATAAAATTTTAAAAAGAAAGATTTTTTAATTTTTTAAAAATTATTATTATACATGTTTTAAAAATTGTAAAATAAATACATTTGTTTTATCTAAATATCGAAAAGTTTGGACCCTTATATAATTATGTACGGCTAATTAATTTAAAGAACAAATATTGTATTTCTCTCAATAGAACTTGTATGCTTTACCTTGTCATCAAATTTTTTGCCACTGTGCATATAATATCTTGCCCTTCGCAGATATATTTTTCAGTGCTCCAGAAATAATATAAATGAACTATAGTTTATATGTGTACAAGCCAGAGAGAGTCGTAGCTAGGGTTTTCAGCGCCCAGGGACAACTGAAGATTTCGTGCCCCCTACTGCTTGCCAAGGATGGAAAACATTTAATTCTAAATTGTCGTAACATCAGTTTGGCGCCCCTTGGATTCTGCGCCTGGGGACAGATGCCCCCCTTGCCCCCTTCTAACTACACCCCTGGTACAAGCCCTAAAGTAAATAACTATAAATTCAAGTCCTAGATCAATATGAACACAGTATTTCAAAAGCATATCTAAAACCCTAACTGCTCAAGGGGCTGATAGCACTTACTGTAACCATATACCATTATTTTGTCTGTAATATATAATATATATATATATATATGCATACTGTTCATTTGCACTTAAAGATGCCGTGAAAGTTTATTAGCATTAAAAAAAAATATAAGAACTTTTTTAAAACTTGTTACACGAACAGCAGGCCTATTTTCAGGGTACTTACCTATGTTATCTAAAAGATAATAATTATATAAGTTTTTTATATAATACTAGAACATGTATATTATATAGACATCAGGTTTTTGCTTTCTTTTTGAAGTTGGAAATGTGAAAAATCAGCTGGGCATGCTATCTGTTATACCATTGGCTTAAAGCACAGATTATTAAAGCACAGATTGGGAAAGGAGATAATTCCTGATAGCATGAATGGAATGCTTGTGCTGGAGATAGTGGTTCATGTTTATGGCTGCTATAATTACATAGATTTGTGTCAATCTGATTTTTTCTTGGAGCATGAATATATTAAAAATCCTGCCGACATTCTGTTTTTAGCGTATTACATCCAGGAACAAAAATCATATGCAGAGAAGCAAACTGTGATATGAGGGGGGAAGAGCATGAACTTTGTTAATGTGCAGATACTTTTTAAGTCACACATGAGTTTCACATTGAATATTTGTAATATGATGTGATGCAAAAAAAGTTAGATTGTTTTTCCTTCCAGATTGTATGGACATGAACCTTGTAATTTATCCTACTGTAGATAATAATTTGCTGTTTCCATGTTTTATAAACTTCCTGAGCAATGTTACCTTATATTACAAATTATTCATTTACAGCATTTTAACAGCTGTGCTACAAGAGTTCTTATGGACTATCTAATAGAAATTTTAGATAAAAATTGCATTGTTTTCTTACCAGAAAAGGTTCCTGAGAAAACACCTCGACCATGGTGGTACATACTTTCGATGACTGCTCCACCTTGTCTTCGAGCAACACAGCAGCGGCCCTAAAAAAATCGATTCATATTTATCTATGCCAATTTTTCAGGTTATTTTAAGTTTAGAACCACAGTCATACATTTATATATATGAAGTAACACTGGCAAATTTCAAAAGCATTTCTACGAGTTCTTTATAATTAGCATGCAGCTTTTAAAGATTTTGTAACAGATTTTGGTTGTACAGATTTGTGCACCGAAAGTTCATATTTTGGGTGCACAAGAGAAATCTGTATTACTATAATTTAACTTGTAGATATTTAGTGCAAGTGATACTACATTAATGTAGATTGATGTAATTTATCTGCTTTAATGTAATCAATATAAATGTAAAAATAAATTGCTCATATTATTGAATTAAAAGGTATTTTTTTTTATTACAGACAGACTATAAGATACTATCAACTTAAAACAATAATTATTACATTTAATAATTATAAGATGATTTCTTTGAATTCAAAATAGTATTAAAACATTGCGGGAAAAATAGGCTAATATATAATATAGAATTTTATTTATGGTATAAAGGTATAGCAGATGAAATTACCAGAATAAATAAAAAAATAAGAATTGTTGTTAAAGTTTAATATTAAAAAATTTTAAGTTTTATTCAGAATATAACTACAAAGCATTCAAATAAAATAAAATCCGACATGGACAATAAACATGACTTTCTTATTTCCCACCTATTAAATTACACACATTTTTGCTGAACTTAATTTATATTCATTTCCTCGAATTATTTTAACTTAATTAACCAATCCCTCAAGGCAAGTTGAAAATGATATTAAAAATTACAAACTTTGAAATTAAATATCCTGGTCAAATTTTGTCATATGAGAGTTAAACTTTTTGCATTTTTATTTTTTCATAATGAGTATAGAACTTTCCCAAATATTTAATATAGGAAGCGGGAGACTGCATTAAAAGCTAAATTTTGTTGTTTTTCCAATTTTTTTTTTTAATTTGAAATAACAAAAACATGAACATTTTCATCATTTAAAACACTTCTGTAATTGGAAGTATATATGTCTACGCCTAACAATTGCTAAAATAAAGGCTAGATAAGGGCTTCTAAAACGGGTAAGAGGGTGTATATATATTATTGGAGTTTGAATAATCTTTTTCCTTATTAAATAAATGTTGGCATTCGCATTAATTAGATGTATAGGCATGCCTATTCTGGCACAGCTGTTCTATGTTAGGGTACATGCTGGTAAATTTAAGTCTGAGATTGGCATATACACAAAGCACAATTGTACTGCTCACTGTATACTTTTTTTGTTGGTAATGAGTTCAGTGGTACCAGATGTGCAACAACAGGATGGTGAGAAACACCACAGTTAGAATGCTTTAAATTCCTTTTTTGTTACTGAGACTAGAGTGGGAGGATCATGGATAATAGGTAACTGATAATAAATTTCATAAAATGTCCGTCTTTGAAGAAGAACTGATAGATGATTGCAATGCATAATTTCCAAATACTATGATTTTCAGTAATTTTAGTGAACTTAATTTTTTGACTTTTTGAGGGGCCCACCAGCAGCTGAGCGGTAAAGTAGCTGAACACTGGTAGTTAGGTCCGAGGTTCGAATCCCGCGAACGGGCTGGCTGCATGGGCGTTTTCGTGGCTTTCCCCATGATTAAAAAGTATACAAGCCAGGTTCCCTTAGAAAGTCCTCCACAAAGGCATTCCTTCCCTTAGGCAGATAGCCCTCAAAGCTTTGCCATAATACACATACACATGTATAACTTTTTGAGAAAGCGAAGAGAACCACACATTATTCAGATGGCAGGGAAAGAGGAATCACAAGTTCTTTTATTTCTCTTTTCTTATAATCAGCTTGTAGAAGCCAGTTTTGAGTTAATGGTCATTCTACAACATCACAAATATACTACAGTCATTAACATCCAAGCCTTACTCAGGATATGATAATTAATGGTAAGGACATAGCAGCTAATCAATGTTGGCTACCAGCGGCTTGATAGCCAACATTGATTAATTTTAATTTACAGTACCAACCAGACAGCACAATAAGACTTAAATATTTAAACAGACTTAATATTATCATTACATAATATAACAAAGTCATGTTTAGACATGATATTTTCTCAGTTGCTTTAAAATCAAATAGTAACAGAGACTTTGTTCAAAATATATTTTATTGTCATAAACTACTAAAATTTATTTTCTAACGGTTCATGGGGGTCCCCCCTTTTTTATGCTTATGATATAATCATCAGAATATTAAAAAGTTGATACTCACATCACAAGTTTCATTCATTTTTTTAGTGAGTGCTGATGATGACAACTGTCTTAAAGTTTGTGTGAGATTTCGACTGGCTTCAGTGAAGATTTTATTGCCAAGAGAACTCTGCTGGTTGTCAAATGTAGGTTTATGACTGGATGGTTTTGCAGATTTGGGAGATGGAGGAGGAGATGGGAGTGAGCTGACTGTAGATACATTTGAGATCATGGGAGAAGTGAACGGTGATGATGAGCCTGGATGATTTGTTGAAGTGGGCGTTGTTGGTGGAGTGGGAGGTGGAGATGACAAGCTTGTGGAGTTATTGCCTGATGAAGGTAAAACTGTGGATAGTTGCAACTGTATGAACATCATGTGGTCACCTAACCTCATCGTTAAGTTAAGAGGCGACCTTCCTGCTAGAAAATTATCCACCTGTAATGATAATAAAAATATTTCAATCATACATGCACACATAAATCTTATTTTAAATGCAACAGATCAGTTTCATAAAATCATCACAATTTCTTAAATATTATTTAATTCAATTATGAAAATGTTAATAACATTATTTAAATACTATAGTACATTTTTACATATTTTTCTCATTTAAAAAAAAATATATGTATTTATACCATACAGGCACATCTCCATCCACTTTATCAGACATAACAGAGGTTCACTTTATCAGATACTCCTCATTAATGGACAGTACCTGAATTCCAGATACAGAAAGCAGAACAATGCACTTCCATTTAGTAAATCCTCTCTGATAATGTACAAAATCTTTATCAAGTGTCCACTAACAGAAGGTTTAACTACAGCTAGTACAGCTGAATGTAAGTAATACCTTTTTTTTTTTTTGCTCAATTTTTGATGCCAGAGAACTGATATGCACTTAATAAATGCTTTTAAAACTCCTTTTAATTCATAGATTGAGAACTGTAGTTTGTGTAACTTAAAAGTAATTCAAAATGCAATATATAGTGCAATTAAACTTCAGAAATAAAATTACGATACTCCATTAATATTAATAATACTGAAATATCATTAAATATTAAACTCAGCAAGATTATAACTTACTATAATATAATAATTTATAATTATGGTTTAATCTTGTATGATGTCACTTAATAAGATTGCATGACTTAAAAAATTCTCTATAAAACCTGTATATATATTTTTTTTACATTATTCTAAGATTAATATAATGTTATGAATTTGTTAGGCAATTTTTTTTTTTGGCAGGACGGGGATTATTTAATATTTATTATGTGGCATTTATTTAGCAGATCTTAGGTAAATAATGAATGTAGCATTTTGATTTAAAAAAATTTATCAGAATATGAAGTTAATTCAGAATTTTGCACATGTACTCACTTTATCAGCTTCTTATGTTACAAAACTGCCATAATTCAGATGCATTTGTGCTACATTCACAGTCAGAACTTATTAAATCAGAGCTTTAAAAATATAAATTTCAATTCTTAACCACATCACACACACATAAATATGTATTGGTGATTCTGCAATATCAAAAATCATCTCTGTTACTTTTTTTCCTCATCCCTTTCATCTTCATAACTTATTTCCCCTAGCATCGTGATAATGTTAATGCTTAATATCTTCATACATATATTTAATCTCCAAGTTTCATAATAAGATGGTACTCACTTGTGATTCATTTAATGTTTCCAATGCCTGCATCACACACTGTTCTGGATTTTGGATCTAAAATTAAAAAATTATAGTAGAAAATATACAAAATCAAATACATTAATAACTTTTAATATTTTATAAAGTAAAAGAATTACACAAATTACATTATTAAGTATCACTAGTATTGTACACATACAAAACAAGAATAAAAAGTTTATGACATTATGTTGTACATGTCTTATAAATAAATCCTTTTTGTATAATATAAAAGTTTTCAAATTTTATAAGACAATAAAATGCCAAGTTATGCATTCTCTTAGCATCAAACTTAATGCCACCTATATTCCTTTTCAAGTGAATGTTATGACTGCAGTATATTATCTATATTTATTTTTGAAACCAAGGGGAAAAATACTATAAAAAAATAGATTATAAAAGTGTTTTTATTATCTATCTTAATGAAGTAGCACATATATAATACCACACCTTAAAGTAAACTGAAATATTAAATTTTAATTTCATGTAACAAATCTTATTTATAAAATAATTTGGAACTTAAGTCGAATCCGGTTAATTGGACCACCGGATAATTGGGCCAGCCGCTTTTTCGGACCGAATCCTAAAGAACCGAAACAAATCCTATGTACATAAGCCTAATATTATTCGCTTATTTTGACTAAATTCCCTTTATTCAGAACAAAAGATGTGAGAGCGAATAAGAAACAGAAGCTACAAGTCGGCCGCGTATAGGTGGTCCGCAACATATGGGAGCAGAACTTTCGTCTGATTGGTTGTTACTACCAGGGACCCAAGACATTTTCGGAGAGGTTTGAAAAAATCCTGCGTAGCCACAACATTGCTTCCGTAGCTAGGTGGGACTTCGTTTCAGACAGAGCACTTTTCTCTAGGAATCCTCCTATTTAAACCAGTGCTACCAGAATCTCGTTTCTCAGAAAAGTCCCGTCTAGCAGGGACTGTAGCCATGTGTGATAACCTCTTTAGATGCTTGTGGTGATTTCGTTCACGTGCAGTCCGTCAAGAGAACGCGTCTGATCACACTGGGTAAGTTTTTCAAATGTTGAATGGAACTTGGTAACAACTTGTTTTTATTGTGCGTCGCATGCTGAGTATCGTGGAGTTCTAAGAATTTGTTTCTAAATTAATTTTCTCAATAAAAAAAGTTCAACTATAGTTCTTGTTTGTACATGTATGTTCGCCATACGTGTGTACCTCACAATAAAGGTCATAATTATATTTTAGTACATGATTTACATGTGCATTTACTGTTTCCTACATACAGCATGTCCCGTCTTACAACATTGGACAGGTTCATGCAATCAGACCAGCCGGTTATTAGAACCAAAACGATCGCTTCCCGATGTGGTTCGATTAACCGGAATCGACTGTATATAGAACATGCACTTTTCTTCAACTAATTAATAGAAAATCAGTAGTTATCAAATTTGTGAAATTAAAAGCCATAACAGTTAACACCAATTAATTTACTTTTATGAGTAAATAAATTTTAGTTCAGCAACAGAATTATTTTCTGTGTATATTAGGCGTTTAATTCGTGAATTTATTTTTAATTTGAGACTTGAAAAAGTGAGCTTAGAAAACCATCCAAAATGTCGTATGCAATGGAACAGAAATTGCGCTTCACACTTAAACCATAAAATTCATTTCAAAAGCAATGTCACAAAATATTTAAAAAGAGCATATCCTTAGAATTTCCGATACACAGTTCCGAGTTGGAGATAAACGAGTATTCCCCCCCCCCGGTAATGTTGCCATTGCTCGTTTTGAAATCGTCCAGTTTGTTAATTAACAATTCGCTAAAGTTTTACAAAATAGGAAATAAATAATAAAACAAATTCCAAATTCGGGATGTCTTTAGGAACCACTGTTTTTGCACAATGCAAGAAACATACATACATTCATGCAGATTCTTCATTATTTAATTTCTTTAAATATAATGCAGGGCGCTAATATTTTGTGGCAACCATTTGAAAAGTGAAACACCATTTTATAGTGGACTTGGCAAAATGCCAAAATGCAATTAATAGCCTTCCTGGGAAAACCACCCCCCTTTGGGCTTTAAAAAAAAAAAAAAAAAAAACACTTAGAATGAGAAATTTTAAATACAACTAAATTTTAAAATAAATATATAAAATATTTTTCTTAAAAATTTTTATTAATAAATAATAATGCTTCCATCACTTCTGTGACATAATTTTCCCGCCAAAAAAAAAGAAAATATTAAATTTAAGCTAAATATTTTATTTGAAAGAAAAGCACAAAAAAGAACATTGAATAAACATTTCCTTGAGAGAAAATTACCTTTTGAAATTTCAGTTTAATGTATGCATTTAAAATTTTTGATATTATTTTCGGAAATCACAAAACCCCATAACCTTTTTTGAGACACTGCAAATTCCCTCCCACCCCCTAAAAAACATTCAGTGCTTAGCTGTTTTTCATTATTATTTGTCCTTAAAAACTGATATACAGATGCATGAAAAAACGGACTGAAGTACATTATTTCAGGACATATTTATTTACACCTACACCGAATTTTATTAATATTTTTAATTTCTGCTTAGATTTCATTTTCAAAAGACAATTTTACTCCATTTTTGGATTTGAAAAATAAAATTATAAGATTTATGCTTAAAGCAATCTATCATCATATTGATAATAATATGTTCTTTTGAAAATGATAAAAGCATTTCTTGAAACAAAAAAGTTGGGTTATCAGATAATAAATGAAAAAATCAAACAAAAATATTACCATAAGGCCTGTTTCAACATTTGGCAACAGTGTTAATTTTGCACCTTCTACGATGTTATTTTCTGTTAAAGAACCTTCTGTGAGTTGCCTGAAAACAGAAAACACAACATAAATTGTAAGTAAATTAAACTGGGAATAATTTAAGCATTATAACATTACACAAATTCACATACTAAATTTCGTATACTATATTGACTGGAACAGAAGACTGCCTTATATATAAGACCATCCCGCATGTTTGGAAGAAAGAAATGCCTTGCATATGAGCAGGATTTCTTAAACTTTTTATCACCGAGATTTCTGCGCGACCCCCCAGGACCCCATAATATTTACAAAAATTTTGTGGGACCCCATAAGTATTGCGCAAATCCGACACACGCATGCGTGAAACTGTCAATTTTTTCACTTGTAATATACTATTACATTTTTAGGTCATTAACTTTAATTTCTAATTTTAAGACATAGAACAATGGGAAAATTTTAAATAAGTAACAGACGAAACGACAGCGTCACGTGCAAAGGAAGTAAAATGAACGTTTGTTTATATTATAAAAAAAATGCGTCGAAACGTTTTCGTCTTTTTTTTTTTTTTCCTGTATTCTCTTATCTTTATCTATTTTCAGATACATTGTGTAAAAATATTTGGTAATTGTAAAATTATTATAATAAGTTAAAGAAATATCAAAACTGCTCAAATTTTTGGCGACTTTTCAAGATAAAGAGGATAACAACCAGAAAAGTATAAAACACATATTCGAGGCCGGTTGAAAAAAAAAAAATTATCAAACCACATGCGAGGCAAATTATCAAACCACAAATTATCCCCCTCGGGGAGTCGCGACCCACAGTTTAAGAAACCCTGTATATGAGAAAGGCATGGCGGTTAAACTTCAATTGGTGATAAAACACCTGCCAACTGCTGGTGAATAATTATGAAAGAAGATAACTCTTGGTGAACGGCACCGATGTTTTGGTTACTGTCTGCAATAATTGTAAGGTTAAGATATTTTCACTTGGTGATTTTCGTAGGTAACAGTTAAAGCAACCACCAATGCCAGTGTATCTTCAATTGAATATTAACCGGCCTCGCATGTGGTTTGATAATTTTTTTTTTCAACCGGCCTCGAATATGTGTTTTATACTTTTCTGGTTGTTATCCTCTTTATCTTGAAATATGTATTCACATTAAGTCCACGAATTGATCCTAATTAAGAGGAACACAACGCCAGTCTTTGGCCAAGGCATTTTGCACCTTATAGGTGGCAATGCAATATTTGCTTAGCTCCACTGTACACTATTTTTCACGGAAAACATCCTGGAAGTCGATTAGCGATCTTTGGTGCCGTTTCATTGGGTCTGGGGTCCAAATATCGGAGAACATTTGGATGTTTGTAAATGCGGATGTCTGTGTGGCATGAGAGACATTTAAAACACTGTCTAGCCGAAAGACCTCTCGACTGGTAGAGTATGGGACTTCGGTTCAAAGCTATTTTAAATATCCTCATGCCGCACAGGCGCTATATATACTAACTAGTCTAAAGGCCATATTCTGAAACAAACACTCAGTAAATACGATTTCTTTTAACATAAAAGTGAAAGAATAAGTTATAAAACTACCTAAACATACATTTTTAGATTTTAGGTTATGTGTATAAGATATCTTTTGAGGGAGGTTTGAAAGAAACAAGCAGACACCAGTTTGTTTGTATTTGAACTAGCAAAATACTTATTGGATCCATATTACGCCAATAAAATAAAACTTTAAAAAAAAAAAAAAAAACTGAAATGTTTCAGATTTTAAATACGTCCAAAGGGCGTTTTTAACATTTTGTGTGTTACCTTTCTTTATAAATATATGTTCCTCGCACTTAAATCATAAGATCCAGTGCAACAGCAATATCGCAAAATAGTTTTAAAACGAGCATATCTTTAGAATTTCAGATACAAAGACTCACGCGCTGGAGATAAAAATGTTTTTTCTGCACAACGTTGCCATTGCTCGATTTGAAATCCTTGAGTTTGTTAATCAAAAATTCGTCAAAATTTTAAAAAATAGGAAATCGATCATAAAACAAATTTCAAATTTCAAATTTGGTCTTCCACATGCTCATATTCGTTGCAGGATTACGTTATTCAAAATTCGATGACTCTATGTACCGTTGTTTTATCACAATACGAGAAATATACATACATTTTGCAGATTTTCATTATTTAATTTCTTCAAATATAATGCAGGACTCTAACATTTTGTGGCAACAGTTTGAAAAGTGAACCGACATTTATGAGTCCGACGCAAAATGCCAAAACGAAACTAATAGTCCTTCGGGATTCAAATCCTTTTGGACTAATAAGACAAAATAAAAGCTACATTAACCACCGAGTTAATAAAATCGCCGCATTTTTAAGTACACAGAGTTAAAATATTTTCACACATTTCGTAGCACTTCAGCAGGCAGCCAATACGGTTAGTGCCCAAAATTGGAAATTTAAGTGACAAATTTGTAACAAACAACTTTTAACAAAGATAACTCGAATTCTCGAATACTTTAACCCCCCCCCCCCACCAAAAAAATCGATATCTGAGAACTCAGATTTTTTTGCGGTTCTTTTCGATACTCGAATATTATCCTTTTTACGTTCAATAAACCACTGAACTTTTTAATTTAAAACTTAAACTAAAATAAGATCTAATGTCTTTACTTACGTCCAAAGGAAATCTCACTTATATGCACGTACATTAGTGTGCAAAACTTAAGCAACAAATTCGTTTTCTGAAATACAACCATGAAATTGTTGGAAAAGGC